TCGTCAGTATTTGTGATATCACAAATCCCGGAAAATATGCGTTGTAGTCCAAACGAGTCATTCGTTGTAGTTTTTGAAAAGTGATTTCTGTGAAATAAAATATCTCCTTTTGAAGTGGACTTTGAGCTTTGCAGATCTTTTTTTATCCTCAAACAGCAACATTACAGACTAACTAAAGTTGAAAAAGTGAAAAAGCACAATAGGACCCCTTTAATACTCTTGTGGAAAATGATACAGAAAGTTCAAAAGAACAGTATTTATTTGAAAAAGACCTGCAATTTTTTTTAATCAATTTAATACATCTTTGCTGAATAACAGCATTAATTTCAATAAATAAATAAAAATAATAAATTTATAATTCTTACTGACCCCAAACTTTTTAACAGTAATGTACATATATTTAATTTATTAAGTCATACTGAGTACTCTATAAGTAAATCTCGTAAAAAAAAAAAAAAAAAAAAACATTCCCTATTTACTTGTTCGATTTTTTTATTTTTATCTGTGTTTTTTGTCCTGTCACTGTCATTCTGTTGCACTGTGGAAGCTTCTGTCACAAAAACTAATTACTCGTATGTGTAAACATACCTGGCAATAAAGCTTATTCTGATTCTGATTCTGACTTACCCACAAACCAGCCATCGTCACATTTCTCAATGACATCAATAACGTCCCCCTCCTTCAGCTCCAGCTCATCCTCATTACGAGGCACATAGTTATACACAGCTTGGAAGCTAACGTAAAATTAAAATAGTGTTTTTAAAATGTGCTCTTTGTGGTCGGACAGTGAAAAAACTAAATAACAGTGTCTAAAAATTGAAAAATGTACTTACGGCTCACCACCTGAATGCTGAGAATCCTGCATCATTTTCTGAAAGAAAGAGAGAGGAACGCGTCAGTATAATGTTCAGGAAACACTTTAAGGTGTCAGAATATCATGCCAAATCCAGACACAGGATGTCAATCTGTGAGTCTTCATCATCATCGCAGAGCTTAGAGAAGATCTGTTGTGTTACAACACACACAGACAGGAAACCAGACACCTCTGTGACCAGAGAATTAAAAAAGGGATTAGAAAGGACATTTCCCAGTCTGCACTGCTGCTAGTGTCACAGCACACTCCATCCTACCCTTCGTGCTCTACTGGGTGATAAACAGGGAGATAAACAGCGCCTTCTGGTGGAAATGGGGCTACGTGGTGGCTTACCCTCAACCACCACTTCCTGCCTATAAACTGTCTGCAAGAATCAAATGCAATCAGAGATCAGCATTCTCTTACAAACTCCATCTTACAACCCCATTATTGGCCTTAATCGAACAATTAATTGTTAATTATCATTTCAGTTTAGTCATTCCAGAGTCTTGAATTATTAGGGATATAAGTACAGTCCAACAAGAGATATAGTTATGCATAAAAAAAAACACCCTTCTCACTCACACTGTTGATACATGCCATATTTAAAAAGATGGAATGAGGAACCTAAAAACTCATATATCTTGCAATAACATTTTTTTTATAGTAACCACAAGCTGTTAAGATATAATAAGGACAGAAAAGGCAGGGATGAACAGATATTAAAATTCTGTCTGATACCAATAAATCAGTAATTATGTTTACTGTATGTTATGACTGATTACTGCCAAATTGCTGATAATTGCTCATTTTAAATGCCGCAAATGAAATTAGCTATTAAAATAATTTAATTTGTAATCTAAATATAAAATTAGAGGAAATGAGCATGCACAATTAAATAACCAATTTCAGTCAATACAGATAAATAAGTACATTTATTTAAAAAAAAAAACTAAAATCAATTGATAGCTGATATTGTAGTGATATATTTTGCATGGCAACAGAAAACACCATAAAGGGACCATAAAAGTGGTGCATATGTTCAGGTCAGCATGAACTGTGTGGCAAGAGCAGCTTGATATTTCTACTTTGGGTTTGGAACAATATGAGGGTGTATAAAGAATAACAATTTTCATTTTGGGGTGAACTAGCCCTTTGAGACATTGCTTCTAACTCTTGTGATTTGTGTCAAATTAATATGTTTTTACTTCATCCCAAGCCTTTGCCCCCCCCCCCCCATTCAAGTTCATATCCACACATTATCTGAATTTTAATGTTTGTTTAATGTCGAAAACATTACGGATGCACATGTACATGCGCCACACAGCAACCCTGAAACCATTGTTTTGTTCATTCTTTTTACCTTGATCTTAGGAGATCGAGGCTGTGAACGTGGGGAGAGAGGAGAAACAGAGGGAGAGGATGGAGGGATGGATGGAGAGGGCTGAGTGGAGACTACGGCTACAGAGGAGGGAGGAGGAGGAGGAGAGGTGAGGAGTGGAGGAGATGGCATGTGCTCTGACGAAGATGGAGGAGGACAGGGAGAGGAGGACAGGAAGGCTGGAATAGTTGGTAAAAGAGGCTGAAAGGAGGAATAAAGAGGAGGATGCAAAGAAGGAATAGGAGATGAAGGAGGGATTGGTGAGATATGAGAAGGAGACTGGGAGGAGGGATTTGAAAGAATAGGAGCGGAAGTAGCAGAGGAAAACTGAGGAAGGACAGAAGAATGAAGGGGTTGTGGAAATGAGGAGGGAGGAGAAGGAGATGATTGATAATTAGAAGGGAAAGAAGGCAAAGGAGTAAGAATATTGAGAGTCGATGAAGGAGGAGGAGGAAGAGGGATTGGGGAGTCTGGAGGAGACAAAGGAGGTGAAAGAGGAGGAGTGCGGAGAGGAGAGTCTGAAGGGGAAGAAACAACTGAGGTTTGGAGGACAGAAGAGGAATAGGACACCAAAGGAAGAGACGAAGCAAGAGGAATAGGAGGACTTGGAGAAGGTCTGGAAGCAGATGCTGGAGAAGAGTGAACAGCAGAGGCAGATGATTCAACGTGTGGAGGAGAGAAACTAGTGGAAGATAGAGTAAGGGAGGAATCAGTCATAGGGGAGGTGGAGAATGGGAGAGATGGAGTGATGGAGGAGTCAGCCTGGCAAAGAGAAAGACAGAGCTGAAACTCACAACTTTAAGCCTGATTGTCAAAATAACACACACAACTAGTGTGACAGATACTATTTAAAATGGCCATATCATAGTAAATAGGATTTTTCTTGACCTTTTGAAATCGGATTGAGGTAGACTATATATATTTCTGCTCAGAAATCTAACCATATAACTATCAATGTTTACATATCAACGCCCATTTAATATTCAGAAGCGTGACACATCCTGTTACAGCAAAATAACAAGGATAATGCAAGAAGGATGACACTCCTTAAGAAATGTCCAGATCACATTCACCCCAAAACCATCAGAAACACAACAAGGGATCATATTTTGCATTAGTAAAATGGTATTGTCAACACACTGTCAATCTCATTATTTTTTAATCTGATGATTCTCATTATGACTTTAATTCTTCTTATAATACGGTATTGTAATACAGCAAAAACTGTTTTGCAATAATTGTTATAAAAATGTAAACATTTTTTATTTGCACTGCAGCAAATAATGTAATGATGATTATAAAATGTATTTATTCACTTCTTTTTACAGTAATGAGAATGAGGCTCTATTAAACACAGTGGTAAAGAGAAACTGAGGGGTAAAATACGCTTAATTGCCCTGAAAACAAATGTAAAAGATCTTGTTTCCTAATAGCAGACCTTTTCCCACTTTTCCTTTTTGAGGTATAATGTGATCTGGACACCTCTTCGTAAATCTTTCCAAGTTATACTTGATCCAGCAGAAAACCTGCGACCCATAAGTAACCACTGTTATTATTTCACATGCAAATGAGTTAGCTAATCATAACAGAATACATTTACATGAGCAAGTCTTAAGGCCTGTTCACACCAAGGACGATAACTATAACAGCAATTCTAAACTTTTAATTATTATTCTAATTCCATGAGAATAGGGAAGTCCAGGTATAAAAAAAATTGTCCAGCTGATAAACGATAAAAACATTGCATTTAAAGCAGCAGATGACAGTAATATACATATATATATATATATATATATATATATATAGCCTTTAATGTTCAGTAGCAAAACCAGCCTGTTTCAGGAAAACTGAATAACAGTACATATCTGGACTTCAAAGAGAAAAAAAATAATAAATAAAAAAAATAAAAAAAAAGTACAAACATTTTTGATATGGCCCCTTTGATTTAGTTATTGAACATGCAAATAATGTTTTGTATATACAAAATAAACCTTTTCAGAATTAAAAAAAAAAGTGTTAAACTTAAAGTTCTAAGAGTTTTTATTCACTGCACACAACCAGACTATCATGCTTCTTTCACATTGCATGTTCTACCTCTTTTTTTGAAACAGTCTCCAAGCCTGATCTGTTGTTTGTTTCATCATCCTCTTCCTTTATGTACAACTCAGGAAGTTCCTCCCACTTTATAGCAGCTACTGGACCGTCAAACTCGGTTTTCTTATTCAAAATGACTGACAGCAGCTCAGCCTTTTTCTTATGGATATCATGATGCTTAACCAGTGTATTTTCTGATTTGTGGCTTGGACTGATGGACAGTGGCTTATTAGGTAATGCTTCTTGATTAGCCATGCTTTTTGATCGATTGCCCAATCTGAATTCAAGTTCATTATAGAGTTGATTTTTCAGAAACATCGACATAAGCTCGCCATATGGATCAGGTTCATTTATTAGCCTGGATGGGTCATACTTTTGTACCAAGCTTTGCTCCTTTAAATACATATCTTTTAAGAGCTTTATACCATCATGACTCTTTTGTTCCATTCTTAACAGCTCTTGATTATGGTCTGTGATCTGTTTCACTGGAATTAATGTATCTGGTTCATCTATTGCTGTCAGTTTATCTCTGTAGAGACGTTCATGGGAAGAAAGGGAAATATTTGAGGACTCTGAAGTGATTGGTCTTTGGCTAGGAAAAGGGGAGCATTCTTTTGCATCCACAAAAGGGAAAAGGTTTTGTGGCGGGGTGAACCTTTGCACAAGTGAAGCAGGGGATTGGGGGCCTGTGTAGTGTAGATTGATGGGTAATGGAGGAGGGGTGGGTGGGACTGGACTGCCACAGGAAGATGGGTAAGTGGTGGAAACTCCTAATGTGAGGGACAGCCATTCACTAGTGACTGTTTGAAAGTGTGTCCCAGTGGCAGAATCAAGACATTGCAAATGGGAGGGCTCTGTATTGTACTTAAGCAAGGGAAAAAGAAAGCAGGAAGGTTTTTAAACTTACTGGATTAAATAAGGTCTGTAGAACAGACTTTGTTGGTGTGATGGTCTAAAACGGGCGCTAAAGACTTACCTTATGTGCCTTATATGTGTGCGTGTCTCCTTGGTGACTGGGGCTCTTGGAAGGAGAGCCCTTGATCACATCGACATAGGACACAGGGAAAATGCCCTGCTTGTTTGAGCCAGGAACCTTTCCTTCATACCAATTCTGATCCACCTTCCTTAGAAGGATCACTCGCTCCCCCTACAGCAGCAAAAACATGCATGCTTTAAATACATGATTCAGGGTGGGTTGAGTTAACAAGTGTATATCATAGAGCTCGAGAGATGGCAGGGTGTGATATAGGGCTTTACACTTGCCTTTCTAAGAGAAAGCTCCACGTTAGTGTCAGCATTGAAATTGTATCGTGCTATGGCCTCTCCAATCTCTCGAACCTGAGCTGGAGGAGGAGGCCTGACAGGCTGCCTCCGCTCTGGAGATGCGACCTTCTGAAGGAGAGAGAAAGCCAGAGGGAATGTGATTAAGTGTGTGTCAGTGTTTGGTTTAACTACTGTAAATAGGTTATTTTAACACTGACCTCGACATAAGAGATGGGGAAAATTCCAATCCGTCCTCTGTGTTCCCCCTCGTACCAGTTACTGTCAATTTGTCTGATGATGTTGACAGCATCACCTTTCTTAAAAGAGAGTTCCCTGCAATGTGCAGTAAACATGCATATGTGACCATAAACATGCATTACATACACAGTAAAAAGAACATTCATACCAGTGACGCACCTGAATCTACCTTCTGTAGCGGTCACATTTCTACTTTTTCTACTGATGCAACCAGAGATGAAAATATTCACCAATAGTCCTGTACACTGTTGTAGCTTTTAAATCTTTATTAAATGTGACCCTGGACCACAAAACCAGTCATAAGGGTCAATTTTTTGAAATTGAGATTTATACACCATCTAATAAATAAGCTTTCCATTGATGTATGGTTTGTTATGATAGGATAATGTTTGGCCAAGATACAACTATTTGAAAATCTGGAATCTGAGGGTGCAAAAAAAATCTAAATATTGAGAAAATCGCCTTTAAAGTTGTCCAAATAAAGTTCTTAGCAATGCATATTACTAATCAAAAATTAAGTTGATATATTTACAGTAGGGAATTTACTAAATATATTTATGGAACATGATCTTTACTTAATATCCTAATGATTTTTGGCATAAAAGAAAAATTTATAATTGACACATTCAGTGTATTTTTGGCTATTGCTACAAATATACCCCAGCGACTTAAGACTGGTTTTGTGGTCCAGGGTCACAAATAAGAGCATTTTGGTCTAAGACCTTCTTCAGGCATTGCAAACACTTATTTATTAAATATTTGCTAATTACAACAATGCATTTTTCTAATGTATTACCCAATGAATTTGGTGATATGCAAATTTCAGGCTGAAATTCATGGGCCTTGAAATTCTTTAATGGTTTTATTAGCATGGCTTTTCATGCAAGCTGACACTTTCATGCAACGACAGCTCACAGCTCAATTGCTGATGCAGAGGCCAATTTGACATAAGAAAATGCAAAACAATAATAAAAAAAAGCTTTGAATGGCTAGACAAGAGTAAAATTAAACACTTTCACAAACAAAAAGCTGACACAGCACCTTGCAGATTCAAATTCAGTGAGATGCTGTGATGTTATTAGCATGCGCCAGACAGAGTCTCTCAGAGTTTTATATATACTCACTTGGCAGACTGAGCTTTAAAATCATAAATAGCCCTGGCAGACTGTTTCTGATGGAGGAGAGAAGACAATATAAGATAGGTCATCTGCTTAGAGGAGACCTACAAAGCAAGCAAAAACACCATCAGTTATGGGTAATTTATGGCAGAGTGGAATAAGGATTCAGGATTTAAGATTTCTTTACACTTATTCACTAATCAATGATGCTTTCCCTGAGGGTTTCAAAACATTGTTCTAATTAAATGAAAACTAGTTCATGAAAAATAGATATGAGCAGAGCAGCATTTTTACCTCCCTTTCTGGCGTGGGTCTTCTGTTTTGTGGTGTGAGACGTCCTGTATCAGAGCCCTGATCTGTGGAAACACATATGTCAAAGATATCAACAGAAAGAAAACAATTGTGTTCATGGTGGCACCACATGCATTCCGCTGGTGTCCAAAGGAAAATGAGACAATTAAAAAAATTGTACAAATATTTATTTCAAATTTCAGGTCAAACACAAAATAAGGGATGATCCGAATACACACAGTATGACATAAAAATGGCATGCAATTGACATAAAAAGGACCCATATATATATATATATATATATATACACACAGTTTATAAATAAAAGACATTTTATTGCAAACTCAAAAGTAATTACGACCGTAGCCTAATAAAAAGTGAATACACTGAATCTTACATTGTATATAAAATCACAAAACGCTGTATTTAATAAAAAATAACATTCAAAACAGACATAAATAGAAAGCAAATGAGTGGCTTTATAACATTATTTCATACATCAGCAAGTGAAAAAAAAACAACGGCAAGGGCACAAAATCAAAAGGAAAAATTCAGCTTAGTAAAACACATCATGCATAAATACCAGACGGACACTAATTGCAACATGGACTGCTAATACTTCTTTTGCACACTTGTATCATTGCAAATAAACAGCATGGAATGCAGTTATGAAACTGGCATAAAGAAAAACATCCCCCATGTACTCATAATTGGAGTTTTTGTGTTAGCATTAAAGTTAACTCTAAGCGCTAAAAAATATATATATATATATATATATATATATATATATATATATATATATATATATATATATATATATTGAAAACAGATTTTTGTCCAATCAAATACTTTCCTGAATGAGAATATCCCAAACAAACTGTGTTGATTCCTTCTATATGTCTGGTTCAAACTTTCTGTTTCAATATATGAATATAGGACTCTAAATAGTAAGATCTCCCAAAGATCTAATACATTCAAGTAGGACACTAGGTGCCATGCTAATAAAGCATGCTGATTAGGTGGAAAAGAAGTGAAAGCGCTTGCATGTTTTCGCTAGGGAACGTTTGAGGTAATGACGTGAGGATTTTGCAATAACGATACAAAACAAAAACTCTAGAGAACTAGTGTAGCTGCACCTGAATAGCAGTGCACATTAGCATTAGCATTATGCTGGTTGTTGTTGGAGGCATCTGCATGGTGGTGTTGCTGCTGGTAGGAGGCACATTGGTGGGCTCCATGATAAGGCTGGTGGACGTGGGGCGAGGAGGGTGAGACGGACCCTCTCTGAGCCCGCAAGGAGGAGCTACGCTTGGGCACGTCTGGTATCAACTCCTGCAATAATCGCTGCAATATGCTATCATCTGGCATCCTTGCTGGTCCCTGCCCCTTTTCTGCCCTTATGTGGTCATAAATGTCCTGCAAAGCGGCATCTAAAGCCTCATAAATTGCAGTTTTGGATTTTGGCCGACTGCTTCTGCAATGTCGTCGTTGGGTTGGCGGGGAGCCTCGTTTCCGGCGGAAAGGCACAGGGCTGACCAGGAAGGCCAGTTTGGAAAGGCCTGACTCACTGGGTGACTGCTGGGCTAGCGGAGATGTAGAGGCAGGGTGGGAATCCTGCCGAGCCCTTTCTTGTTGTCGCTCATGTTTTAGCATGGTGGTGAATCGTGTATAGGATGCTGGACAGCGACCCTTACATGAGCTGATGAGGTGGCGGTGTTGGTAACCTTGACTCTGACCGACACTCTGGTGCACGTGATGGTGGCGATGGTAACGGTGTCCATGGTGATGGTGTCCATGATGGTGATGTTGCCCAGAACCGTAAAAGCTCTCCGATGAGGTAAATGAGCAATGATCCAGGTCACTTTCGCTACACAGTGAAGATCCTTCTATGTGGATGTCGCTCATTTCGGAGGCACAGGCGTCCTGCTCACTGTCCGAGTAGTCTTGATGCCTCTGGTTCTTCCCATGAACTGGCACCAGGCTACTGCTGTCTGGTCCCGGTTTTGGCTGTCCCTCAGGGGGACTTCGAACCCTTTCTGGAGGATCCTCTTCCTCTAAAAGGGATTCCACAGAAAAGCGTCGTTTGGGACAGCTGCTGGCCCTTGAGGACCCTGGTGTGGTGGTGCCCGAAGGAGCATTTTCGTCACCAAGGTCTGGCATTGACTTTGATTTCTGGATGAGCTGTTCATATTCTGATATAAGGTTTGGGACCATGTGTTGAGGTACCTCATTACCGAAAGGTGCCCAACCATGGAGGTTGTGCCTCTGTTGCTGCTGTAGCCGTTCCAGCTCAAGGATCCGTGCACGAACAGAACGAATCACCTCTGAGGGCAACAGCTGCTCACGGTCTATGTGGTGCATTTTCTTATAGAGCTGAAGGAAACCTGGAGTATCATGTGGCATCTTACGGCGGTGATGTCGGCGCCCCCTGGGAGATGAGGTAAGACTTTTTACTTGAGGCGTCTGTGGAGCGTCTTCTTCGAGCAATGAACCTGCACTTTCAGAGCGAGTGGTAGTCACAGAAGTGGATGCTCTCCCGCCATTACTAGCACCATGTCCATCAGACAACAAATCATCACAGCTACGTGATTTGAGCCGTGGTGATGAAGGAGTCACAACAGATTCATCGTCAACACTACTCCAAGTCTCTGCAGCTTCATGTCGGCCTGTCTGCCAACCGTTCTTGAAGCAGATGGAGCGCTTGGAGCCACGCCAGGTTGGTGTGGAGATAGTGAGGGAGTCTGAGGAGAGACGAGAGGAAGGGCGCTCCATACCTGGAGAGCTCATACAGGAGGAGAGTGACTCACTAGCATCTCCAGCTGTGAATTAAAATAACATCCAATGCAGCATGGCAAAGAGGAGACAGGAAAGCTGGTTAGTGAGCTCAGCTGACAGAAAATGACAAAGCGAGAGAAAACAGTATCAGTAAATGTGACAAAGTCAGAATGTGTCAGTAAATTTATAACAGAAAGGGGACAACATGCAGACTCACATAATTATGATCTTATACACAAATTAACATTTTGCTAGGAGTAAGTCTAACCACAAATGTGACCATCTAATGATGGAACAAGAGAAGTGAGTTGTTTCGGTTTCTGGCACAAATCAAACACTACATACAGATACAATGGTGACAGAACAAATCCAACAGTTCCTCTGCACAGAATAATGCAGCACTAATGTAATATGCCATTAGGTATTGATGCATAATCGAAACGTCTTCAGCAACATTTGACCAGTCTAACACCTTCTGTTAGCATTTGTAGTTGTGCGACTGTCTGAAATTACCTTTGGGTCTGGATGGTGAGCAGGGGGAGGAACGTATGGTGGGCTTCTTCAGTGTCTGTGCTTTATTAGTGTCCAGTGGGTGGGAAAATACTTGACTGGCATTCTGCTCACTTCCTGTGTTGGCTTGAGTGACAGATGGTTCCGACTTTCGCCTTTTCTTGTAGTCACTTGCAGAACTAAGAATCCCAAAAAATAATAAAATAACCAAAGCAAAACATTATTTTTGACTTTAAAGTTCTATAAAATTACTGAATAAATTGATAGAACATTACACTTTAACATATTATTTGTGCAAACAAGATTACAACAAAATAATTTAACAACATTTTAGGCCTAAAAATACATAATTAAGGGAATAGCTATGCAATTTTAATGCTTTTGTAAAAAACAGTGTACAAACAACTAAGCCATTTATGCCATTTTGGAAAATGGAAACAGCACCCAGAATGGCTCAGCTAGTGGACGATATACTCTGGTACATATACTGACCGTGACACTCTGATTGCAGGGTCTTCTACACATTAAACAGTCCTAAATAAGGTTTCTCATATCCTTTACTCTAAAGACTCCATATGAATAGCAAGTGGCATTAAGCTAAAGATGATCTGAGAGTAGGAGGTACATACAACACTTAATGCTCAAGTATGGGATGTCAAATTCATATACACACAGTGACAAAAATAAACGCTGGCAGAGCTTTTAAAACATGAGTAAATTACAATTAGACTGAGGATGCTCAGGTTCTATCCTCCAATGGATATCCAATAGGCATCTCTCTGGGAAATTAAAGAGCCTGAGTGAGAAAAGCTGGTATTAGAATGAAAGGGAAGCTTACCTTGAAGGCCCGTCAGGTCGTTCCGAAGGCAAGAGATAGAGGGATGACTGAAAGAAAGCAGACAACAAAAGAGAAGAGTGAGAACCATGGGAACAAAGAAGTGTAACACTCCCGTGCTGTGCCGCAATCAAACCCCCCCCCCCCCCCCCCCCCCACAGCCGCGCCCCCCCGGCGGGGCCC